ACCTCATGTGTAGCGGAAGCAGTTTTTGTAGATTTGGTCTTGAGTAGTGATAGTTGTTTGTTTATGTTGTTATTATAGTTGTTTTTCTCTATTACGCTTGAAGCTGATTTATACTGTTCTGATTGTTATTAGTTTTTACGTCAAATCTGTACTCTTAGTGGCAATATGGAACTAGACCACTGTTTGTCTTTTGTTTCCATGGTTGATGTAATTTTTTCCTTAATTTTGATGTGTTGTTCTATTAAAAGCTTAATAACTCAAAATCTAGTGATTTTATCTGAATATAATCTCATACCAAAAAAAAAAGCTTATAAAAATTGAATCTAAACTTGCACAAATATACTGGGTGATGCATTTTAAAAAACGAAAATTCGAAAAAGTAACAAACAAGGTATAAGCTCAGGTGTGTAAGTTTTTTTTATTCAAAATTTAGCACTCCAAATTTCAAAATGGCGGATAGAGGGGTTGTCGAAGTGGATGGTTTTTATGGACAAAACACCTTACACCTCAGTAGCTAATTACCAAAGCCCCATAGTATGTTATATCAATCTTCTTCTTTTGAATTGGTCTATCCAAATATGCAATATAATGTGAGGCATTCCATTTAAAAAATCATAACTTTGATATGTAGGTAAAAATTGGGACACCCTGTATAATTGCCAATATTTTAGAAATGTGACCTCAAATGTCAAGTATAACATGCCATAAATAGATCTTCCCAAAATGTATTTGTTTATGAGTAATATTCCGTCCACACATGGATGGGGTACCTATATATGTATATATATAAATGGATCCCTATCTCGCGTGCTCACGCTATAACTTGAGAACGACTTTACCGATTCCATTCATCTTTTTTTTTCCTAATGCAGTATAGAAGTTTCTTACGGGAAAAAAATCAAGACAATTGCGCAGAAAATTGGGAAATCATTGAAAACCTATTGATTATTCAAGCTACGCGCGATTGACAGTTAGCTTGAGCAAGGAGCACGCACAGCAAACGAAATATCTCAAGTACCAAAAGAGACAGGCACTCCTCTCCGCCATTTTTATTCCAACAGCTATTGACAGTTAGCTATGTGAGAGAAAATTGATTATGAAGAGACGGTGCTTTTGTTTCTGGACATACATTTCGTTACAATCCGTACTCTGTGATGGCCCCTTCAAAAGAAACTTCAGTGTTGTCTAATTATATTGTTATCTTTGTCATGTCTTTGTGATTAAAAATTTCACTATAACATTTTGAACTTGACAGCTCGCACGCCGCAAATTTATATTTTCGTTTAACAATGTTTATCGATGATAAAATATTGTTTTATTTAAGTACAGTGCACGGTCCGTTCGATTGGAGCTTTTACTCAGTTTTCAGTTTGTTTAGCGGGTTTTTTGAGTATTTGTTCAAAAATAATTAACAAGTCAGTTCACCGCAATCACGCCTTACATAAAATTGTGATTCTTCAAAATGCTACCAATTAGACGTAGCAACATAGGTCGCAGAACTCGCTATGCTGCAAGTCAAAGATATATACGAAGAAGTCAAACTGTCGAGCAACGAGAAGCGAGAAAAGTTGAACGGGATCGAAGGACTGAAATTCAACAACGTAGAAGTGTCTCATTTAATCCCAATCGAGCTGCATTCAATTATGACATGGCAATCGATTACAGTTCGCAACAAATCGTTGCTATTGGACCACTGAACGTTGTAAGTCCACATTGCAAAGCTTTCAAGTTTAAAAATGGAGCCCCTGGATTATGTTGCGTCAGTGGAAAAATCAAATTGACTCCATTGGTGCCACCAGCAGAGCTACTACATTCACTGGTTTCCTGAAATGGGCCAGATTCTATACATTTTTTGATCATATCGAGCAATACAATAATTGCTTTTAAATGATGTCATTTTGCGCAAAAAAATTCATTCGACATAATTTTATGCCTACTTTGAAGGTAAGTTGATGGGGGAATGGTAGTGCTGTCAACGTGTTTTGCTAGCCACATGGCGATACAAATACTTCGCGATACAATTACTTACATTCCATATTATTTACTTTATTGATTATTCATCCCAGTTCATAGCTAAGACATGACAACGTCTGTCGGGTAAGCTAGTATAATTATAGTATAGGTGATCAGTTTATAAAGAGATGCTCCTCTCATCAATGTCTTGGAGTCACCTTTGATAGCCGGCAATGTCCAGTATACTTAGAATCCCACTGACACTAGACGACTTGGCGCTTCTGAATAAAAAACTGGAAGGGATTCTTCAATGTCACTACCTTAATAACTATATTTTTACTTTTGTCCGAAGTACGTTGGAATATTCAACCCTGATCTGGTCTCAAATATTAGAAAATTCAGTTTTAATGACTGAAGCCATTAGGTCGTTAAGAATTTTTAGGCGAAATAGCTTTACCTTTTCACTTTTACATGGCCTTATTCACAATGAAATTGACTGTCTGCACTAGAAAAAATATATTTCCGCATTTCAACGCTAGCGATTCGTCTACAAACGACATTTCATTGTCAAGCTGACCGCACAAACGTAATGCTGAAATCTCCGATTCAGGTCATGTGCCGTATTTTGAACCTGAAATTTGTGACAGTTGTATGTCAATCAAAAATTGTTCTCTGAGACTAGTTGGGCTGATCGATGCTATAAGTTCAAAAAGCGAGTCTCTGTTTATTATCCTAACTTAAACATTGTCTGTAATTGAATCTCACTTGTAAGAAATATAAAAGAACTTCCGCGTATTCGTGGTTATGGTATTTACACCCCGGTCCAATCCTGTGAGAGTCTAACCATACGCCATGGTGCCCTAATCTTCCTATTTTAATTATATATCCTACTGTACCGTGCCGAAAACACCGCCACATTGCACATTTCGCAAGACGCCATATGTTAATATTTTCTAATGCATGCTTCGAAGACGACCCTCTGTCTTACCTACCGAGGACTTCCCGGAATCGCCTCGATTCCGATTCAACATGAAACGCTGATTAGGAACCAGCACTTTTTGCTGTTTGGCCTCCAGGCATTGGCACCGACCTTCCACTTCTTCAGCTGCTTTTGTTAGAACAGCCACTGCCGAAAATTATTAGTGGACCGATGTTAAAAATAGATTACATACATGAGAGGGATGCAGGCTAAATACGGCCCCGTCAGTTGGACGACCAGACACGTGCTATTTGCAGATTGCTGATGGCCAACTAGGCATACACTGAAAGAGGTTTCGAATGAGAGCTGCAAAATATGCTCTCAAGTGTAAAGAAACGTTAATCCCGGCAATCAAGAACAAGAGAAGCCTGGAAAATTGTTATTGAAAAAGTCACAGTTATTTCAAAGTTAGAGATACTGGTAGCTCGAGCAGGTAGTGACCATAGTGTGAGCTTGATTTAACTCGTAGTCAATATGCTTGAGGACATGGCTAGCGTTCTTATTGCGTATAGAGAGCTCAGACGAGATATTCCCTAGAATGCTTGGCTGTCCTGGAAGTTGGGACCTTCCTTTTCAGAAACAGCTACGTTTGTAATAACAAAGCTAATATGCCGTGAAACAACAGAGAGGAAGTAAAAAAAATAAAAAAGTACTCAGAGTTCATCGAAAAGAAATTTCAAGTACAGCTCTGTTACTTGTAAGTAATGTTGAAAGTTGTCTGGGATAGATAGAAGCATCGGTGAAGGCTTTTATAATGGACTGGCACACGTAGTTTGTCAACAGTGTTCACCTCAGTTTTATACACTAAAGCATTTCATTTCGCCACAAGCGAAAAAAGAAATCTCTAAGGATCTTTTAAAACGATCTGCATGTACTCGCCAAGCCTCGGTATCATTTCGAAGACACTCACTGCAGATCAAAGATATATGGACAACTCCGATATTGCTGTTGCTATTTTTTTTAGAATCGATGTGTAAAGGCGTTTACAAGCGCGGCCTGGTTTGCGTAGAGATCCGGATCGTACGTGATTAGGTTTGATCTATTCAGGATGTATTACCAGATTATGATTTGTTTAGGCTTCATTGATTTTGCGGAGCACAACATCTCGGTAATCTCTGTATATGGTACTAGAAAAGAACTGATTATTTTTTCAAGATCTATATCCACCCCTAATTATAAAGCTTAATCCTATAATGTACAACTAAAGTCTACCTTGACCGCCAGATCATCTTCAATGAAAATATTAGCCAAACAGTTTACAATGCAAAAAGAAAGTATGGTTTTCTCATAAGTATTTGTATTTTTGTCACCAAATTGCGTAGTTTCACTGTATACCTTTGACTCATTTGTCTATCAATGCCTATCAAGGTAACAGCGCAACATAATATCATACATCTACCTTGATTAGGCTTGGCACATTTGATCTTTTGAAAAATAACACTACGGACTATGGAAATTAGAAGACTGGCTCCTTCTACCTAGTCTGAATTCGTTAGTAGGTGGGAAAAAATGAAGCTGAGAATCCTATCATGCCAGACAAGTACATTTTACAAGTGCTGAGGTTTCAAGACGCCATGTTGTTATAAATATGCCTTCAATTTACCTACTTCTATAATATAGCTTGTACCAATAGATATAATACCAAAATTATTTTGTTAGGCCTAGGATCAATTCATAATGTGAAGTAAATATTCAGCTGTAAGACAAATTTTTTTCATGCGGCATGCAAGATCTATACAAGTGTGAGATAAACGCAGTTTCACATCGCAGTCAATCGTATGGTAGGATATTCATAGCAATGTGATGACTGGATTCGAAGACAACTGGTTATCAAAAGAAGACTCAAGTGATCTGAATTGCTATGACTATGGCAGAGTAAAGAATATCTGCGATGCAAATGTGCATAACAGAAATATCCCAATCGAGTTATATACTTTGGAAGTTGTTAGTACTTAAAATGGAAAATCCACGGGAACAGAAACTCAGAAGGTGATTCTTTGGATTTTCTAAAACTATATTAAAAAAGAACATTTGTTTTTAGTTACAGGAAACACTATTTTCAAAAAAAATGTCAGTAACTGACCAAGGTATGTTCAAATGGAATGCAAAACTCTTTCAAATATTCTAGCACCACTGCTTTTACACAACTGACAACCCTACAACATGGTTATTCGTGAATTTTTGAGAGAAACATGTATAAATACCTAGAGTGAAGTTTACATGATGCCCCTACTCAGGTTGTTTTTCTGACATGTCAAATGGCAAAATATTCATAATCGTTTATGGAATCACTTATTGCATTTTTGTTCCAGTAATGTGTCTAATATCTGTGTCTTGATTCTGCTTTATGACACCGCGGAAAATTTGTTCATGCTCCAAAGCCTCCTACACAAACATGTAGATCATCTAGAATTTTTGAGCATTCGCAGATTCAGCAGGGTACTCAAATCATCCAACTGCGCTCGGTAGTGTGTCTGTTAATCGCTCCATGAACATCGATAAAGGAAATGCGCGTACAGTACGGCGTGACATGGCGATAAGAGGAAGAGGAGATAAGCGAAGCATGATATATTCAGATTTGGCACACGTATTAGTGGATAGAGTATAAAGAGACACGCTGAGAGCCAATGAAACATGCAAGCTCGGCCTCGCATATGAATTTAGAAACGCCAGGGGCGGTGTACTTGCGGAGACATCCATAAAAACTTTTATTATTCTTCTCCTTCTTCTGGTACCATGTGCACTACTGCACGCTGATCAATTGTGAATTTCTTTTCAATGGCTACAGAATGACCAAGTTTTCGTCCTCGGCTTGCCGAAAAATGGTTGCTGCATCAGGTATACAACACCGCTCTCTTATATTCCTGAACCATAAATGCTGCTTTCTCGCTTCCCCCCTATTTTCTCTTGTAGAACTAACTTAGGTATCGTGAATCGGGATCCTCTTAATATATGCCCCAAGTAGGAAAATTATGTTGTTTTACAGTTTCTAGCAGCTGTCTTTCCACAACATATCTTCTTATCACTTCTTCATTTGTGATGTGAGCTGTCCAGGGGATAGAGCATCGATCCTGTTTATAGATTTTTGCTTTGAGTGACCAGATTTGATCACCGTATGAAAACTTGAAAAAAATGATATAGTCTGCATTTTCAGTTATATTGCTTGAGGTATTCCCAACAAAAGGGGTCTATGAGTGGGATTTTAGGCCAGAAAATAATTCATATTTACATTTACATATGTATCTTAGACTTATAGCAATATTTTTCCTTTTATTTAAATACTTACATGTTCTCTTAAAGCTTGAAGTTGGAATTGGCATTTTTTGGTCAATATTTACCCATTTCCGAATACTCAACTTAATATTGTTTATGAGTGCTCGGTGAGAGCAGTCCCTACCTTAAATTTATAATAAAAGACACTAGGGCTCGATTTTACTGAGCGGGGGCGCAAAAAAGCGCGTGGGTTACAAGTTAAACCAATGAGATGGCGTCTTTGTAGTAATGGATCTAATGAATTTGATCGATCCCTTGGAAGATGTCTCTCAAACTAGATTAATTATACGGTGATTGTAAGGTATTCCCTTAATTCCCATATTTAATCAAGAAGTACGTCATAAATCACTTGGTTTTGCTACAAAAGCCTGTTTTTTCATTTGAGCCCAGACACTAAATTAGCGGCCATGGTCATAAAAGGCACCAAAAGAAGAATTTGCGCGATACTCCAGAAAGTCAAATGAGCATTTTATTAAAAATAACAGCGTCTCACTGTTGTTGTTTTGAGCTGCTTGACAAACTCATTAAGGACATGAGTAAAATTACAGGATGCTTATTCTCCAACAAACATCGAGTCAGTCTTCGATTTACTTGACTATGGTGCGAACAACCCTGTTCCATAGCCCAGCCCTGTAGGGAGCTCTCACGCCCTCTACTGAGCGGCGCGACGTGGTCGCGTAGTCGTCTTACCGTCCAATAGAGTGCGCGACGTCTCCCTGTTAACAACAACAAGATTGGCTTGAGGAACAGACAACAGAGTTTGTCGTATGGTTAGGTTACGTTAGGTTTCTTGTGAGTGCATCAATGGCGATCGTCCACTGCGACTCTCTGGTCTGTTGTGGCTCACAGCTATTTATATGTCCCTCAGTAGCTCCGACCTCCTAAGGAAGTCGATCAACTTGTTCGGAGAAATATGCTCCAGGTCTTCTGCTTGGAGTACAAACTCTCCAAGTATGTTGTACCTGATTCTGGTAATTGCAGGGCATCTGCACAATACATGCCTGACCGTTTCATCTTCTACCGCCATGCCCAGCCTGCTCATGTGGTGACGCAATTTGCAATGACCACTGTACAGTCCTACTACAGCTTTGAGGCTATTCCTCAGGCATAGCAAAGAGTCTGTTACCTTCTTTGTCAAGATTGGTATAGTTGCCTATGCATGGGTTAACCCTGCTAATCCCTCCAAGTATTCTTGGATCTTTCTGTCTATCTCTTCAGAGATTATTTGTTTAGCCTTATTGTATGCGATTCCAATCGCTGACTTAGGCCCTATGTATCGTTTCCTTCTAGACCTGTGTGTCTTGGCATACATATGAGACGGACTTCATTTCCCCTCCCCTATGCCACCGAGAGCTTCTTTGCAATTCCACATTAATTTCGATGCCGAGTAGGTGGAGTCAAGGGCTTTAAAGGCGGCCTGACTTGCATGGTAGTCAAATAATCGAATATTTACTCGACGTTTGTTGAAGAATAAACAATCTGTAACTTTACCAATGTATGTCTTCAAAGAATTTATTAAGCGGAAATTTGTACGACAGTGAGGCACTGCTATTTTCAATAGAACGCTCAGTAATGGCGTCATGTTAATCTATTGTATCAGGTTTGATTCATATTTTGAGTTCGCCACAAATGCTTTTGATGCACCACTTTCATTTTGATCTACATATGTATCTTTTGTGTCTTAATGTGTTTAATTATGAATTTGAGATAGAACGCATTGCGCCCGTGTGCTCATAAAATAAGTATAGTATTCGAAAATGGATGAATTCCGGACAAAAACGCCAAAATTGTGAACTTCATGCGTTTAAAGAACACTCAAGTACTAACATAAAAACAAAAATGTTGAGGAAAATTTGAAATACATTTGTTTCAAAATATTATAAAATCAGTTGTGTAACGCTGGCATCCTCATGAAAAGTATAGCATGACCGACATAATAAGGGAGTGTGACTAATGTGTCAGAACCCCCATTGCTCGACAAGCTACCCCACTGTGTGACAGAGAGTATTAATTTAGCTCTTAAGAAGATTATCGTGCTCCTGCAAAATTTGCTGGTCCAGGGACCTGCAAGCAAGCAAACGATCATCGTTTCATCGTGTGCCATCCTTTGCCACTGTGTACAGAGACAGGCTTGCTACTGAGATTAGTTTCATTTGGATGGTTAGCATGAAGCTGTGGTTTGATGTGTTATCGTGCGAACGAGCCCGATTTATCGTATGATCATTAAGAGCGGTTCATTAGGTTACTACTGAGATGTGTATGCAGTTAGGCCAAGAAATATGAAGATTTTGTCTAAGGAAATCCTACAATTTTTGCGACAGTAGTTGACCTCATAATAAGGCTGGAGAAGTTGCCGCCATTTTCATAAACGCGTTCGATCGAAAATCTTGAAAACTATCGGTCCTATGTAAGAAAGTGATAAAAACAGTTTATTTGGGGATTAAATTCTCTATCATGTCATGATATTTTCGCTTATAATGGCTGAACTAGAAATCTAAGAGGATAAAACTGTATCGTTTTTGTAGAGAATAAAATTTGCTATAAAAAGGGTCTTCTACGTTTTTTAGACACTGATGGTTCTTGAAGTATAGGGAGGGAACGCTACAACTTACTAAGAAAAATTCGCGCGTCAGACTATGTATGTACATAGTCCACGTTATTCACATACAACAAAATTTCACGTGGGGATAACTTTATACCACCACGTGTAAGTATAATTTCATTATAAAGATCAAGTCACTCACTTCCAACAGCCTGGCTATTGGCGATGCTGGTACAAAGATCTTGTACTGGTACCTCTGTTGTGGTTAACACTATTCCGCATGCAATAATTTTTATGATTAAAGTCAAGTTATAGAATGAATGAAGGGAACATAGAATTGAGACATTTCGCACAATGAAGTTTGATCATGAGTAAATCTACTAAGCATAAACAGACTCAAAGTATCCCAATTGCGACTCTTCGCTTCGCGAATTTTTAGTGTCTCGCACACGTCATCTATAGTAGGTAAATCTATATGCGTATGTATGCCTGCTTGCAGTCCAATAGCTTGTAATTTGCAATCGTATGAATTGACATGACGAAACAAAAAAGTAACATACCAACATATCTATCCCACCCTGATATAATAATGGGTGATTGATAACTAGATTAACAGAAGCAGAAGTTATTAATTCAACAGTATAAAGCCAGCAACTCCAATTTATGCCTTGCTATTTCGTGCTGCGTTACCTTCGGAAATGGATGTTTCGAGTTTTAACAAAAACATTTATTCAAATTATTTCTTTTGTACAGATTTTGAAAACTTAGTTAGAATATGGTGAACTATTTTAGCTTTAAAATAGGAGTCAAGCATAAAAAAGAAACTAGTGAGACTAGTTCTTAATTTTTTTGCTTTTGTTGGAAAGGCTGAACCTTGACAGAATGAAACACAGTATCGTTCGAATGACTGCTGCGGCTGGTTCGATAACACCCCACCTAAATAACCCAATTTTCAAGTACTTTTTCGATTATTTGGGCTCGAATTTCTTGAATGGCATCTTTGAGTTCGTGTATCAAGACCTCAATAATTTTCTTTGGGTAGCTAAAATAATATAATAAAATAAAATATGATATCATATACTCTAATATAATATAATATAATATAATATAATATAATATAAATATAATACAATATAATATAATATAATATAATATAATATAATATAATATAACATAATATAATACAATATAATAATTATAATATAATGAAATATAGTAGCACCTAGGCGACCATTTGGCGTCAGAATAACAACTGGTTTTCAAAAACGATGC